GGCTGAGGATCTTACGTGGTCAGTACACATAAACAAAACAGTGAAGAAGGTGTAGCAGCGCCTCTTCTTTCTCAGGAGACTGAAAAGATTCGGCATGAGCCCCCGCATCCTCAGGACCTTCTATCACTGTGCCATTGAGAGCATCCTCACTGGATGCATCACCACCTGGTACAGCAACAGCACCGCCTACAACCGCAAAGCTCTCCAGCGAGTAGTGCGGTGCTCTGAACGGATAATTGGAGGTGAGCTTCCCTCCCTCCAGGACATCTACAGGAAGTGGTGCCTGAGGAAAGCGGGGAGGATCATCAAGGACTCCAGTCACCCCAGCCATAAACTGTTCAGACTACTTCCATCAGGAAGGAACACGTCATAGACACCTCAGCTTCACTACTGGAACTTTAACATTATGCACTCCATACTGTACAGTAATGCAACTGTTTTGCACATGTCTCACTCTGTATATTTTTATATATTTTATTTATTGTTGACTCTATTTAATTTGTAAAATATGTGTATACACACACACACACACACACGTAGAAAAATATTTAGTATACACATCCAGAAATGCATACACTATTATATATTGTACATATATTTATTAGTTTCAGATGTAGCCATTCTTGTATTTTGCTTGTTTACATTATTGTATTTTGCACAACTGTGTTGCTTGTGAAGCTCGCACACAAGAATTTCACTCACATGTGCTGTACCAATGTACCTGCACATGTGATGTGACAATAAAAGTGATCTGATCTGATCTGTTGTTGTTGGGGTATAAAACTGTACGGCCTGATTCAGGGTCATCCTTTCTATGAAGACAGATGACTGCTGTGTGTCACGACTCAATCAACATATTCTGCCCCTAATTGTTACAAAATGTAGTAATGTCAGTGCTACGTCAGGGCGCACTATTTGACTATAAGCGCTCATCATTTGATCAAAGGCCGAGCGCAGAGTGCCATTATGAGACTGCTCCAGTGGAAAATCTTCCTTCTAGTGAAGTGCTGGAACCAGCAATCCACCCTCCTCAACTGTCAGTCATCCTTGCGTCACTGCTGAACGCGGCACAAAAGCCACGTGTCCCTATTGGTCGAGAACGCAGTTAAGCTACTAAACCCCGACCAATCAGTTCCCAGATTTAAGGGATATGCTAGCCACCAACTAACCGCAACTATTACTCTACATTACTGTAATCACAACACTTTTCAGTATTGCAGTAATGTAGCATGTTACTGCACTAAACTCTGTAGCTACATTACAGTTACAATTATGTTGTTACTTGTATTACAAAGGTTCTTCAATTATCTGAACACCAGTTGGTTAACAAGAAAATAAATAAATAAAACGGGCATTTCTTTGTATGCACTTCCACTACAGTCTGATTTCAGTTGTTTGCTGGAGGAGCAAAACAGTTGTTTGGTCTACAGGTTTTCAGAATGGAGATATTGACATTATTTGTATTTTTACTGTACAAAGAGGCAAGAGCATGATGGCGAAATAAAAACTGAGTCTGAGAAAGAAACAAATGGATTATACTGCTAACATCTGCACAGACAGCATGCTTACTCGGAGCTTGGCTAGTTTTGACGTCTATGAGGACCCCAACCCAGGAGCCAGACCTTCAACGGGTAACAAAAGCAGTGATGAGCAGTCAGGCTTGCAGCATTGTCAACATTCCCACAATGGAATCTCTACAGTGGCCCCGAGGGGCCAAAAGGACCGCAATTTAAGAAAACGCCAGCAAATATGATAGTAAGATTCTATCTAAAATTCTGGCTAATCGATGATTAAACCGGGTAATAACCTCTCTTGTACATGTAGATCAAGTTGATGTCATAAATTCACGCTCTTCAGCTGATAATATTAGGAGGTTAATTGACATTATGTGGGCGGTTCAGGACAGTCATTCTCCCATAGCTGCGATTTCATTGGATGCCGAAAAGGCATTCGACAGAGTTGAGTGGAGATATCTATTTGCCACTTTGGAGTGTTTCGGTTTTACTAAAAGCTCTATTAACTGGATTTGGCTTGTATATGTACACGCCAAGGCATCAGTACTTACAAATGGAATAATAGGGCCTCCTTTTGAACTAGGTAGAGGAACTAGGCAGGGCGATCCCCTCTCCCCACTCACTTTTTTGCTCTGGCCCTTTAGCCACTGGCAGTGGCTATTCGTAGGGAGCCCAATTATCCAGGTGTTAGTATAGGGAGAGACTGTCATAAACTGTTGTTGTACGCTGATGACATTTTGCTTTTTATATCAGACCCAGAAAAGTCTTTTCAGTCCTTGCAGGTAATAATAAATACGTTCTCAGGTATTTCTGGTTACAAGGTGAATTGGACCAAGTCAGAGGCCCTTCCGCTAACTAGTTATTGCCCTAGGTCACTTTTTCCAACCGGTATGTTTTCCTGGCCTCAGAAGGGCATTAAGTATTTAGGCATTACCTTCCCACCTCACCTGTCAGACGTGATAAAGATAAATTTTGAACCTCTACTTAGCGATATGAGAATTAATGTTGATCGCTGGTCTCAGATGTATCTTTCGATGTGGGGAAAGGTAAATGTAATAAAAATGGTATGCACACCTAAGTTCAATTATTTGCTGCAGGCTCTACCAATCCATGTTCTTTTGAAATACATCAAACAATTTGACCAGATTTGCAAAGCATTTATATGGAGTATTAAAAAGCCTAGATTGAATTTGAGAAAACTGCAGAAACCAGTAGTCAGAGGTGGGTTAGGGATGCCCGATCTACTTTTATATCATTATGCTTTTTCTCTTAGGCATTTGGCACATTGGTTTTTACCCCCTGAGAAAGCGCATACTTGGTTCTCCATTGAAAGTACGGCATCGCCATTTACACCATTATATAGCTTATCAACTAATCTGTTCCCCCACATCCAATCACATCTGGTATTTTCTCATTTAAAAGAAGTATGGAAAAGAATGTCCAAATTATTCAAATTTGACCCACATCTCAACCAATCTGCTGGTATTTGGTATAATCCCAAACTTTCTATCACCAAGTTACCTTTCTTTTGGAAGCTCTGGTTTCAGAGAGGTATAACAGTGCTGGGGGATCTTTACGAAAACAGTACATTTAAATAATTTGAAAAACTTGCAGAAGAATTTGATTTACTTTGGCAGGAATTTTGGAAATACCTGCAACTAAGACATTTGATGGTTAATACATTTGGCTCATCCGCAAAGTTCCCTTTAAGCTGCGATATTCTGAGGCATCAGCTTATTACAAAATGCTTTTATTAGCTTCTGATCCTAACACACTGTCCCTCAAAAGAACGTGGGAAATGGCTTTAAATCTCAGCTTCACACTGAGGAATGGAACGGCATTCTTAGGAATCTGAAAAAAATGTCACGTGAACTGCGTTCAAGATTGGTTCAATTTAAGATTTTAAATAGAGTTTACTGGACACCCTCACGGTTGCACAGGGTGGGTCTAGCGACTGACGATGCATGCTGGAAGTGTCCGCAGGATAGTGGCACACTTTTACATTTGCTTTGGGGATGCTCCAAGGTCCAAGATTATTGGACTCATATTCACACTGTAGTAGAGAAGGTTGTAGGCCATTTATGAACAGTCTTTATGTACTAGGAGACCCTTCAGCTTTGGGTCACTTACCTACTCCTCTTGCTCATTGGGTACAAATGGCTATTACGCTGGGGAGGAAGCTGTTGGTGAAATAGTGGAAGGACTCATCGACTCCTGCCTTCTCTCAATGGTATATTTCTTCGGGACAAGTGGCAGCTTACGAAAGATTATCATATAGGCTGCTAAATAGACTGGACGACTATAATGACAAATGGACCAAGTACCTTTCATATACAGGTCTCGGTAGTACACGTATCGAGCTAAAGTAGTTAAGGTCGGACTAATCACAATAGCTGTAATTGGGTTTATGGAAAATATTGGCATCATTGTGTATTTATGTTATTTTGGATTCTGTTTTTGATGAGAATATGTACTGATTCTCAATTTATTTTGCTATTGTAACTGTGTTAAGGAGTGGAATGTCCATTCTGTTATCTTGTAGGTTTTTGTTGTTTGTTTGTTTGTTTGTTTGTTTGTTTGTTTGTTTGTTTGTTTGTTTGTTTGTTTGTTTGTTTGTTTGTTTGTTTGTAATTACTAAAATCTAATAAAGTTCAAGTGGGGAAAAAAATAAAGAAATCGTCAGCAAATAGAAAAACCCAGGAAAAGCAGACAAAACACAAGTGAAGTAGGAAAAATGAAAACAAATTAGAAAATAGAAAACAAAAACAGAATTGTTTCTAGGGACACAATGCTCAACAGCTAATAGCAAGCATGTGTTATATGAATCATTTTAAATTCACATTGCCTTGAATTTTTTTCTTCTTCTTCTCTTGAGCGCGTCTCAGCGCGGTCCTTTTTAGGTTTTGTGCCAGTGCAGGGGCTGTCGGACATTTGAAGACCGCGAACGTTTAAAAGTAATAAGCTTTTATATGTGTGGATCTAGAGCAAAGTGAGTGAAAGCGAGAGCTGTGTGTCAGTATCATTCATTCATCTCTCCTCACTATTTCCCCTGTTTAAGGACACAACAAGACTACACGCTTGTTTGGCCTGTGATTTTAGACAGTTGTTGGGCAGTTGCTAGGCAACGCGGTGACGTCGTGAGCACGCGAAATGAAAGTTTTGTGGAGGTGAATAGACGACGTTGTCCAGAAATGTCAGTGATAGGCTGCTGTGCTGAGGTTTTATATCCATGTATAAATGCAACAAACTGCAATCTGTGAGCCAGGAGGAGCAAACAAAAGGCAGAGATTCCCTTTAACATGGGTTCAGTTCACTCTGTCATAATTCGTTATGCAGTTTTTTCAGATTTATTATTTATTTATTCAAAAATAAATGGCCTATTATTTGGTTTATTATATATTTATATTTGACATGGGTTTATCGCTATTTTTTTAAAAATAAGGTACACATGTTATCGATAATATTAAGATATTTCTAGCAAGAAACAAATTACATAAGGATATTCAAGCTCGCGTTGATATTTTGGGTAAACAGGCGTGACACCCAGAAACCACGCAGCATATCGGTGTTAAGCTGAAGTCACGGTGAGTGTTATATTGCCGCAGCCTGTGCCGAGCTGCTGGCGGTGACGCGTTGTGACTTCACACGGAGGCTGGAGTAGGACGCCGCCGCTCCGCGCAGCTCACACCGACTCGTCTAGTTCTCTCGGCTGGAGTCAGGCATCAGAAAGCCGGAGGGATGCAGCCAGCGGGCGCGTACGGCGCCGGGAAGGCCGGGAGCGTCGCCTTCGATCCGGTCGCCTTCTTCACGCATCCCCGCACCGTCCTCAGACTGCTTTCGTGGGTAAGCCTCCCCTGCACTGTGTGGGTATCTTCATCAATGGATAGGCCTACCTGCAGCCCCCCTATCTGCCTCGTTCCCACTTACATCTGTCTGGTGTTTCATCCACTCACGTCTGCATTTTACACCAGTGGGCTATTTTTGCAAAAGACTGAGTGTCTGAATTTCAGCTTTTACAGCGCTCACATCATTTCAGCCTCTGGCACAGAGGCTACAGGGCTGCCTCTTTGTGTCTGGATGGAGCTAATGTGAACGCTCGGGGATAATAATGCCCCCCAACCGGAACGTAACACCTCTGTTTTCTCTGTGCTGTGCTGCTGTGAGTCACCATACAACATTTCAGGAGCACAGGAGGCAATGTGCTACAGATGAGCAAAAGCAGAGCTAGTTAACAAAGCACGCCAGCCCTCCTTTCCCGTGTGTGTCCTTCATAATTCAGCTCATCATATGTCAGCTAGTCACTGTTGCTTTTCTATTTCTATCCATCCATTTTTCTTTGACCTATCCAATTAGCACCCGCTGGATGAAAGAAGACATTAAGTTGAATGATTTCACCATTAGTCTCCAAACTATGATTTGAGCCTAGTCCTGAGAAGTATTAATGACATATGAGATCTCTGTGGACCAAATGAACAGTGTAAAGCTGAATTACAATCACACAATACAAAAGTGGTGTAGCTGAAACCTGTAAAGCTCATCCATGACACTTCTTTGTCTAACTGAAAAGGATTTTAGGGTAGCTCCTGATATTTGGCTACAGATTCATTAAACAAGGGTGATTTAAAAACTAACACAGTTTCATCTACCTCTGGCAAATGATTCAATTTGTGTTTTTTAAATAAATAAAAGGAAAATTCTTAGTGCTTTGAGAAACCAGTTGTCTTTGAAAGAAATCCCATTCTTATTACTTGGTATTATCTTTACTCAGTTTCTGTTTCCTTTTATATCAGAGTTCATTTTCTGCACGGTGTGTCACATGATGACATTTAAGTAACTGGCACAAGTGTTTGTTTTTGTTGTAATTTGGGCGACATAACACTTTTAAAGTATCATCTAATTGTGGAGAAGAAGGATATCCTTGGTCTTTGAGCTCTCAACCGCAGGAATGCATGGCACTGGCACGCCGGTGTGAGTTAATTCTCTTCTGCATGTCAGGTAATAAACCGGCCAACACGTCTCTCCCTGCAGGTTTTCTCCATCGTGGTGTTCAGCTGCATTGTGAATGAAGGCTACATCAACATCGGCAGCGAGCGTTTGCTCTGCATCTTCAACAACAACGCCGACGCCTGTAACTTCGGTGTCACCGTGGGCGTGGCCTGTTTCCTCGGCAGCATCTTTTTTCTCATCCTGGATGCTTACTTTCCCAGCATCAGCAGCGTCAGGGACAGAAAACGTGCGGTCCTGCTGGATCTCGTCTTTTCTGGTACACAGTTATCACAGGCCGAATACCGTAACACACAACGTAGAGCTAGGTCCAGGAGCATTTGAGGTACATGTGCTAGACATCATCTTTTGGATATTTACAAAGCAGAAAATCCTTATATTTAAAATTATCTTGGCTTGCCCAGTTACTTTTTACACCCCTGAATCCTAAATACAACACTTTTGTTAAACCCCTTAAATTCAAGCGGCAAGTCGATCAGTTTCAAATAGGCAAAACAAAAGTATTAAAGCCAAATCTCAAACATTTTAACAACAACATTTAAATATCAGGCATATAAGACTGTATTCTTTAATCTTCTGGGAACTGCACATCTTTACTTTCAGCCAGCACTTGGCTTAGCTTAGCAGAACACTGGCAGCTAGCCTGAGTCCTGCCCGAAGACAGTAAAAGAAGTGCAGTTTCAATAATACACATCAGTCTTTCTATGTAATTAAAAAAATGCTTCTGTAGTAAATGAAAGAAATCTGTCAGCATGACTCTTTAGGCTTAAAATGCAAGAAATGAACGTGTAAAAATTACAGAAAAAGTTGTGGTAGCTCATTGAGTAAACTGTCCTGTGATTGTAAAATAGGTTTTTTTGTAATTGACAGAAAGTGTCGCTTTAATAGATGGTCAAGAAACATGAAGATTTCTGTCATTTAATGTCCATGGTGGAGGTCTGTGTCATTCATAAAAGCTATAAAACATCTGAAAATACAGTTCATATTTTCCAAAATTGTCCAGTGGGCTGGATTGGTGCTTTATTGTGGGGCCATTCATGGTCCCGGAGCCTTATATTTGACACCCCTGTTTTAAAGGAAAGGATTTTTCTTTAACAGCAGCATGAGCTTCACCTTTGTGGTGTTGAGTGAAACAGCGCATAATTTAGCACACATTCAGGTTGCTGTTGGGATAAATTGTAATAGCTGGTGATTCAGTCCGTGGAGACGCATCATTAGTACACATTTTCAATCTATCCAATATGCCGGGTTATGAAAAACAAAGATTAATGATTGTCCTTCCTCAGCTAACAGTTTGTGTTTATATCTAATTAGGAAATGTTAGCACACTAATAACGCTCAGCTAAAACTATTGATCATATATCATGCTTACTGTGAGCACTGTGAGCAGTGCTGTACTAAACGTAGCCCATGACACCTGTTAATTCAGCGGCTGAAACTTGATTTTGTATGTTTAATAGTTATCTGAAGCCTTCAGTGCAGAGAAGCTGAGAACATCAAAGGAATAAAATATATTTTTAGAATGAAAAAAACATGAATAGAGTATAATCTTCTTTCTTTTTTTGCCTTTTACAATTTGCTTCATAATCAAGTCAGAAAAACAACAGAGAGCAGAATCTCTCTTTAACATGAAAGGAGACAAAATTCATCTTTTCTGGTTCTCAAATAGACTGGAGACACTTTTTTCTGTAAAAAGTAAAACTGGGAAAAATGTGTTAATTATGAAGTGACTCTGCATCTAAAAGTCCTGTTTTCCTCTCCTCAAAGGTATTGCATGTTTCCTGTGGTTTGTCGGCTTCTGTTTTCTGGCCAATCAGTGGCAGGCGACCTCTCCAGAAGAGCTGCCGTTGGCGCAGGGCTCCGACGCAGCCAGAGCCACCATCGCGTTCTGCTTCTTTTCCATCCTCTCCTGGGTGTGTATGCTTACACCTGTCGATTCCCACTGCCCTCTTTGTCTTTTGCACGCCTGTGAGCATGTGGTTATCATCATCATCTGATATTTGATCACCTGCATGCTCGCATGTGTGTTTTCAGGGTTATCAGTGTCTGCTGACCATGAACACATTTAAGAGCGTTTCCTTCACGGAGGTCGAGCAGCTGCTGCCCACGACCCCCCCGGCCCTCTCTCAAGTCTAACACTGCCGCACACACTTGGTTGACCTGGGCAGCTTCCAGGCGTCGGTGCTTGTTTGACCGTGTGTGTGTTTGTGTAGTTTTGCTGACAAAGCATCTCACTGCTGAGAACTGCATTGCAAGATATATTTCAACTGAGACAGTTAGCTCATTTATTATCCCCTGGTGACTCAGTAGAGCCTGTTAAAACTAGCTTAACACCAACCTATAGCAGCCATTCATCTCACTGTCATCGGCTAATTGTGTCAAGGAAGTGGTTTCACTTTTTCAGTCTGTCGAGTCATTTATTAACCATTAAGTTGAAAAGGACTCAATTGTTCCCCTGCAGAGGGTTAGTAGCGGGTGGCAAACAATCATATTAAAGGTTCGGTCGTCTTCAGGCTGTAGCTCCTCTCTGGAGGGCATTACTCATTAAACATGATTAGCGAGTGACACCTTGTAGTTGTTTGGGCTTCAAGGCTGTCATTTTTTTGACAGGAAGCTTGTGTTTGAAAGCAGTTAAATCTGCATATAACCTTGTGTCGAACCAAAGATGTCTGTGTGAGATGATGATAAACAGCCTAGTGTCTCGCTTAAGTCACAGGTCCTTGAGTTTGAGGTTTTATCAGATGCACAGTAGTCTATAACAGTACAAAGAAGGATTTCAGTACTTTGAATTGTTCTTTTAGCAGCAGCTGGGATGGACTGCTCTCCCACTGTGACACTAAACTGGGGAAACTGGGATGAATTTTCCAGTTTGTTATCCCAGTGTAGAGCCAGTGTGGGTGTGAGAACTTGGCACCTGGTATTTCACCTGTCATTAAAATGAAACCTGAGGCATTTTGAGAAGGTTTCCAATTGTAGGCACAGTGTGAGTGACAGGGAGCCTAACACTGCTATAATTAAATGCATGTTTTATGCCCAGTTTCAGTGTGATAGGAGACACTCGGGTTTAATAAAAACAAATAAATATAATCTTACAATAATGATCGCAGCGCATTTATGTCTATGTGTCTGCATGTGCACTGTCACACACACACACAACGATTATTAACATTCATATGTTGTTCGATTTCCTGTATATTGGATTCATTTTACGAGTCGCCTGCAAATGCAATATCAGGTTCTCTGTTTGCATTCGTTTCAGTTTTCCTGTTGAACATATGTTGCCCATACTTAACGCTCACTGTTTCCTTGCATCTTCCAAATTTGTACCTACGACAGAATTTCGTCCGACTCACCACTAAATACACTAAGTAAATATAATTTAAAAAATAGCCCAGGCTTTAAGTAGTTAACATATTACTTATTTTCCGCTGTAAAACCATTAACGCAGCGGTCCCATTCTGTCAAATGAGCCTTATAGCGTCCATAACTCAATGAATAAGAGCAGCTTTTAGTTTAAAGAGTTTAGTTTAGCATTATATCTGTCATCATCTGGGTTTTGTGAGACTTCAGAATCAACCGTATTTTTATGAGAAGGTGGATTGCTGAGGTATCAGGTAATGTTAGCCAGCCTAGTCATCAAGTTGCATACATAGACTTTGTGTCACACAGTCACAGATACTTGCTAAATGGTGTTAAATAACATGCAAATAAAATACCTGAATGTCACCACAGATGAGCACAGACTAAATATGGCCTGATTCACACATAATTTTAAGCCTTCATGCCTTCACTGTTATTGCGATGTTATTAAGGAGGTAAATTGGCTATGGAGACCAAAACATAGTATAGCAGGCGGTAAACATGTTTATTTCTGATGTAAAGTTGGGCATTTTAACATGAGTGTCTCACTCTGGGAGCGAGCTTCGAGTGGCCACTCGAGGAACTGCAGTTTGATTCTTCAGCTCTGCAGGTTTTTATATTGTTACATTGCGCTGTTGTTTCATTGAAGACTCTGAAACTGCGTTATGGAAAAGCACAACACTTAATCCCAAGTGGTGTAAACCTTCTTCTTCTTCACCTTCGTGCTTCTTCTGTCCATTTTTCGTCACTGCATCTTTAACCAACCCGTGCACATCTGCAGGCTTCTCTAAAAACAGAGTGTTACTCAGCGTGTGATTAACAGTGTTAATCGTTAACATGTGTGTGTCTCGTGTGTGTTGCTAACAGGCTGTGCTGACGCTGAGTGCGCTGAGACGCTTCTTAACCGGCAGTAACTCAAACTTATTCACCTGGCAACACCTGGATCCCGTCCCTAGCAACACTCGAGCTACACCATACCCTATTGCCAATGGCGCTACCATAGTTACCACAAATCCCTATCAAGCTCCGCCCTTCACTGAAACCCTGGACCCCCAGAAGCTCACACAGCAGAGACCCTTGGCTCCTGCCTTCTAGAGACACACACTCAGGGAGAGAAGGACGAGATGTACACGACATGGACAACTTCCTGCCTCACTGTTGAGCGGTTTCTCCGTCCTCTCCTGGGATTGGCAGGATTTTGGGTCATGTGAAGCGTGATATGTTATCACCATGGCAACTGCTGGCTCAGCTTAGTTATTTGTAACTGTCTGTGTCAAGAATTCCGTCTTCTGCTCATGCACACACACAGATACCGGCGCACGCAAACACCGCTGTACTCCCTCACACCTGGAAACAGATGCACACACACACACACACACCCAAACACACACCTGGAAACACATGTACATACACCTGGAAGAACACACGCTCACGCCTTGACTGCATGTTCATATGGTGAAGTGCAGATTAACATAGATGTAGATGCAGTGATGGTGCTCCATCTGCCTTATTAACAGATAACTTAGCGAAGGAAACATGGAGGACAAGGAAGCTGTGTAGCTATCTATTTCTGTTTGTCCTCAGTCAGCCTGGCCAATCACAAGCTGCCCTGCTGACACGTGAGCTCCCATTGGCTGAACGTCAAACAGAAGGTCGGTTTGACCAATAGATTGTGAGCAAAAAGAGTGAGGCCAGGCAGACCTTGCAGAAAATGCTACATTTTCTTAGCAGGGGAATAAAGGCAGGACTGCTTAATGCATTTTGTATGCTATGGTGTTTTAGTGTGAAATATTCATGTGATTCAATATTTTATTGTGATATGCTAAAGTGGTATTTGAAAATAAAATCTATCTACTACCACCACCAGAGTCTGCCTTTGTTTCCATTATCTTTAAATAACTTCTTTGCTTCCTGCAACATGAGAACACATTTTTTTGAAAATAATCATGTGTTGCGACAAAGATCCGGGGACATGTTAGCATACTAATCACCATTTGCTGGAAGAAGGCCATAGAGTGGTTGAATTCATTAGCGGCAGCAGGCAGCTGCTGTGTGTTATCTTTATTTTTAGATTAGAAGGCACGTGTTGAAGACTGCTAATGTTTCCGCTTCTGTTTCTTTTTACCATCATGACACACGAGGAAAGGACAGAATTAGAAGAAAGGTTATTGAGTCAGATAAAAGTCAGACAGGAAGTGGTTTTATTCCAGCACTGTCCAATCATCTCCTCTCTTTGTATCATTCCCCGCTTCCATTAATATGCAGGAACATTAAACGGCTTTATGAACATTTGCATCATCCACCATCATCATCAATCGTTACAACTGGCACCCCTCATCATCCATCCTCGTCATCACCAGCAGATAAATTGACATTCAAAAGTGTAGAAATTCACCTTTGTAGTTCTCCTACCACCCACTGTGTTAATAAAATAGATTCTTGACCTTTTCTACAAAGTTTTACGCATTGTTATGTCACCTGAATAAGCCCTTCTTTTACATCTGCGTCTGTCTGAATCACCTCTTCAAATTTAAGGGGCCAGCAGAGGGCAATCTAACTCCGCAAAGCTCTGATCGCACCACACTCAGCTGTGTCTGAACTACCTCTACCCTGAGAATACTAAGACGGAGGGGGGGTTGTGAGAAAACGGAGCTGACTGAATGTTTTGAGTGGGTGGGATCGGGGGGAAAGCGAGGTAGAAACTACTAAGGCCTAGGTCACGCTACATGATTTTAACTTAAAGGTTCAAAGAGCGGATTGATTTTTCAGGCTGTCAGGGTCGGGTGCATACAGGCCAAAAATCAACAAGACATCAAGGTTTTCTCAGGCCATGAGCAATCAAGCGACACCCAGAAGTTTACTGTAGGCCGTGATGAATGAAGAAAAAAAACCCTCCAAAAACCAAAAAACTGAAGATGAATCATATTGAAAATCAAAAACTATCTTTAATATAAAATTTCCTATTATAATATATCCAACAAGCTGCTGTACAGGATTCATTATTACTGTTTTGGAGGTATAAGTCTCTTATAAAACGGCATTGTGCCTGCACCATTCACATACTGCAGGTGTTCAGTTACAAATTATTATTATTTTTTATTACGTTTTGTAATTCTACGTCTTAAAACCACATTTGTAAACATAAACTGTCATTTCTGCACCACAGAGAACAAAGTGGGGGAAAATTCTATTCAAGTACCGGTTTGCAAATTAGGAAAATCATCAGATCTTATTAACTGAATGAGAGCTGAAACAGCTTGTTGATCAAAGGGTTAGTCAAAAGAAAACAGTCGGCAACTCTTGATATTGATAACTGACGGATACATTTTCAAGCAGCAATGCTGCGAGGGGTTCTGCTAACTCATCAGATTTGTTAGTTTTACAGCTTTTTCTTCCTTACTAAGACATTACTCCTAGCCTGCTGTACCACACCATGGTAAGGTGGTTAAGTCAAGGAGTTGGGGTGACACTAAGACTGAGACATATTGTTGAAATCACTTATTTTCTTTAGGATTATTCATCATCTGTCCTGTAAATAGATGGTTTCATACATGCGACTCTATTTAGAATGTATGTCTTTACACTGAAACAAAAGGGGAACATTTTGAGGTGTTTTTCTTTTATATTGTTCAATGATTTTACTATTTCATTAAGATCAAACTGGGTTGTGTGTAGCCTAAGAACTTAAATGACTTTGACCCTCTTGATCCAAAATCATAATAAACTGACAACCTGCTGTTTGGTCTTTTTTGTCGGGGTAAAGAAATCCCAGAACAGCCGACTCTGTTCACCTGGATGCTGCATTTTCAGTGGGAAAAACATTTAATCACTAATCCTACTGACAACTTCAGTCATTTGACATTCAAAAATGTGGAAATTCAACAGTCTTCAGTCACTTGGATGGCTGAAAAAGTCATTTATCCCATTAAAAAAAAGCTGCAACCAGATGAACAGAATCGAGTGCCTTGGGTTTGGTATTTTCACAGAGGAAAAAAGTGTGATTAGACGTTACCGTGATCCGGTTATGTTGTGTGGACTAACAGGTAGTTGCAGCCCCAGCTGTGTGGTCTCTTTGTGTAAAACAGCAGACCAGTCACTAACTTAACCTGCAGTGCACCTTCAGAGTAGTTTTGTACTCTGACCTGGGCTTGAGGTGCGAGGAAAAGGATGAGCGAGTGGAGCAAGCAAGGGGGAGGGTTAGTGTTTGAGTAATATAGCTGCAAAGTGACTCTATGAGTGAACTAAAGCTAGAACTATGAGAGAAGAAAAGGAAACTTCTTCTTGTGTGCATCTCGTGTGCATTCGGCACAAAAGGGGTCCAAGTCTTTGAACACATACACACTCAGTACACACACAGTCTGAGTCCTGCTCACACAACCTATGAAAACCTTGTGAGTGCAAGAGGCGAGGGGCGGGACAGGAGACAGGTATAATCCTGTTTCCGGCCGCGGCTCCCGTCCCTCTCGTGCACTAAAGCAGCACATTCGGCTCCTCCACTTCAAAGAATGACCAATCCCATCACAGGTTTGTTTAGTCTTCCACAGAACTTCCCTCCGGCAGATTAGGAGAGAGGCTTGTGGCGTCAAAAGACAAAGTCCGCCTCCTCAGCTCAGCACTGCTGTCAGTTAGTTGGGTTGCGACTGGAACTGGCTCCTCCCTGGGCGGCGGGCTCATTCGCTGCTTCCTGTTCCTGCCTGAAACCGGGGACACCGAATGGCTGAGGCGGCTCCTGTGCTCCCCGGGACTCGGGGTGAGGTGTCTGCTTTTGTGCGGGGAGCTGGTAGGTTGCGTGTGAGAGTGAACAGAGCTGTTAATACAGCTGACCTCTGCGTCAGCGTCATCTGGCTGCGGGGCGGGGTCTGAGCCAGGAACGGGGCTGGCTGCTCTGGAGTCACAGAGTGGAACTGATACCTTCAAGCTCTTCTCAAAATCTGCTTCTGGCTGAGAGCCACAGGCTGTCTGCTCAGGTACGTGTTCTTGTGCAGCGGTATCGCTGTGGCTCCGGCTGTGGCTCCTGCAGGAGATGACCCTCTGCGAGTGCGCATATTTCATTGTGTGAACGCTGGACGACCGTTGCCGTGGCGGGGTGGAGGAGGCTGCGGGCACAGTGAGTCGGGGCTCCGCCAGATCGTCAGCTGAACTCTGATCCAGAGAGTCGAGGCGCACGGCCTCCTGCGGACACAGCACATTCACAAACACTATGAGATAGCCAATCGCAGACCGTTGTAAAGTGCGTGTAGGCTTGTGTGCTGCAGATCAACCTGGAGTAAAAGATGGAATTCTAAAAAATACATTTAGATAATTTTTTGTTCCTTACAAACACAAAAAGGCCCCAAAATTGATTGTAAAGCAACTACCACCCACTTCAAACTTTGCAGACGTTGCGATTTTAAATTTTTTGGAGAGATGCCCTCTAACCTCTCAGCTTGTCTTTACGTTCTTTGATTCCGATTCATTCCCATAAAATTAAAAATCACCATCTAAATCCTTTGAATCTCACCTGGCTTATTTAATTGATTCAAAGGGAAACTGTTAAACTTGTAGAACTAAACTAATATAACTGTCTTCCTCTCCTCACCCCCAGCAGATATGTTATTATAGGGTCTTTACCTTACAACATAAAGCAGCTTGAGGCGACTGTTGTTGTGATTTAATACTTTATCAATAAAACTGAACTAAACTGAGCTGAAAAAGGTTTGCAGTGTGTTTGTGTTCAGCTATCATCGTCATTAAAAACACACCTGTCTCCTTAACTGTCTGCTTGCAGCGCGGAAGGATGCTGGTCTCCTCATGGCTGAACTGTCAGGGACGTAGGAGGGGCTCAACTTGTTTCTGTCTAAACTGTCTTCGGGACTGAGCCAGTAAGAAGGACGCCTGCCGCCGCCGCTGTGCGTGGGGCTCAGTCTGAGCGACGGATGCCTGTCTATGCTGTGGCTGGACATGAGCTTCGGCCGCTCGGCGCTGGGATCCGGATTCACCCTGTATCCGTCCATACTGTGAGTAGAGCTGAGCCTGTGTCTGTTGATGCGATGCGCTGGGCTGAATCTATATCCGTCTATGCTGTGAGCCGAGTTCAGTCTGTGTCTCTTGGCTCTGTGAGTGGGGCTAAACCTGTATCCTTCTACGCTGTTGGCTGAGCCGAGTCTGTGCGAGGAGTGCCTGTCGATGCTGTGAGATGTGCTGAGGCAGATCATTGGCCTTGAGCTGCGTCCAGACCCCAGTGAAGCGTGACTGATGGCTGGCAGAGCTCCTGGAACCTGCAGCAGGGAGCCGCCTCCACTGGAGCCCAGAGATGACATGGAGCCTGCAGACAGTAACGTGGATTATGAAGATGACAGCTAGAACAAAAAAAAGCAAGACTTTAACCGTTAGATGCATTTTTTTTTAAAAGAGTTGTTTCACCTCACAGCCACTCACTCACTCACTCAC